CACACACACACACACACTCATACACACATACACACATACACACACGCCCTCATATATAAGCACACATGCAAAGAGTCTTTTGGTGGGGACAGTGCCTTTCCTTAGTTACCTTTCCATCACTCCATGGGTATGTGATAGTATGAAATTACGAGGGGAAGAGCCTCCAATATATTTCCCAACCTAGATAGACAGACAGAACCAATGAAAAGCCATGAAAACTCCCCAAAACCAAGGTTCAAGAATGGCTCGGTTATAGGTATTGACCATGGCCATTTGCTTTGTAGTCCAGCATGATTTCAATAGTTAACAGTGATGTCGGAAATGAGTGTAATGATAATACATAAGTACAAAGTCTACATGTCACAGACATATAGCAAGTACATGGATTATATTTTTCACAGACGGATAGCAAGTATATAGATTATATTTTGTCAAAGATAGATAACAAGTACATAGATAATATGCCACAGACAGAGAATGGTATGTTCATAGTCAATATGTCGCAGATATTATAATATACACGTGTGTAGTCTATAGTTTACATTATGTTACAGACAGATACGAGACTAGTGCATAGTCGATATGGCGCCGACTGATGCACTAGTACATAGGTTTGTACTTGTGTATCTGTCTGTAACACACGTGTCTGTGTAACATAAAGAGGAGGTACTAGGGTATCTTTGCGTAGCATATTTGTATATCTGTCTGTGACTTAGAGACCACATATTTGTTTATCAGCCTATAAGTAAGTTATAGTATAACATAATTATAGACTACTTACGTGTGTTAACATCTGTTACATTTACGCCTGAGATGTATGCCCTACGGCTTTGCTACACAATAATAAAATGATGTATGTTACATAGAGAGTATGTGTTTGGGTATATGTATCCGTCTGTAATATATTTGTGATTCTGGCTGTGCCAAAAATACTAGATATTACTTAGGGGTCTCCTTGTGTCAGTCATATACTTATGTAGCTGTTTATCGCTCTGTGAGGTCCAGACTACGTAGATCTATTTGTAGTTGCTTTGGTGTAGTTTGCATCTTATCCTCCTTTTCTTGCGTTTTTTACTCCGTTGTAACACCTGTAATCTTCGGCCTAATAATATGACCTAATTGTGTTGCTAGCGCCGTTAAACGCTCACTAAAACAAAGTATTTGTATATTTCCAGACGAGCACAGAACTTTAGAAGCCGGTTGGAAGAGGTCTCGGGACAGCTGCAAAGTAAAAACAAACAAACAAAGAAAAAATCCCAACAAACAAACATGATACAGAAAGGTCATTGACGCTCTGTGTAGCCTCCACGGACGGAAGTTGTGAACACATGGCGATGGCTGGTGTGTCGTCAGACATCTGTGCTGGCAGATGCAGGAGCCGGGGGGGGGGGGGGCGACAGTGAACCGGTTTGATTTTTGCCTTCTTGTCTGATGTCATACCTGTAATGCGCGGATGATTAGCGAATGGTTGGTGCTCTGGTGTTGTTTGCTCCTTTTTTTCTATCAAACATCTGTCGTCCTTACCTCTCCTCCTTTTTTTCTTCTTTGTATAATGTTACTCTTTAGTATTGCCCCTAATTTCCTGTACTTAATAACCCACTTGTGTTTTAAGGGCTGTAAGCCTTTTGCTTCAATCAAAAAATCTATCCTGTAATGCCAACGGGACTCACCCGAGAGTTATATCTGAAAAGAGATGACACCCCTCCCCCTTTCCTCACATCCTTCTTCCTCCCACCATCCCCGCTGTTTCAGCCTGATAATATTGTTGGTTCCTCGCCACTGCTGGAAAGGCAGACCAGCCACCCTAATCAGCTCAAGTCAGAGGATGCCTCTCTGCTTCTTATACATGTATAATTATATATAGCCTACAAATATTTATTATGATTATTGCTATTCTCATACTGCCTGTACTCAAATGTTTTGTCAATGAATTATCTTGCAATGACACCTTTTGTAATTCATTATTGCTTTTATATGATTTGTTATTGTTGCTGAACCTATTGATTTATGTGAATGTTCATTTCGCAACCGTACAACTACCAAGTTTTATCTCCTTAGTACCTCTAGTTTTGAGAAATTTGACGGGTTGTGGAAGATTTGGTGGAGATCAACAAAGCACGCACGCGTGTACAATAATTGTGTAGAGAGCTTTATTTCATTTTAGATATCAATCAAAAAAACGAATTGAGAAAAAGTCGACTTCTCAACAAATTTGACGTAGAAATTTTTGAGTTTAA